GGTGTCACCTTGAAGACTAATGTGCGCCTGACCCAAGTCATGGTGTTTTCAATCGCCTCATATGCATGTGAAAGCTGGACAATGAATAAGGAAGACGGAAGAAGAATTGACACCTTTGAATTGTGGTCACGGTAAAGAATACTGAATATACCATGGACTGCCTCACATACTTTGGACATGTTATCAGGAAGGATCAGTCCCTGGAGAAGGACATCATGCTTGGTAGAGGGTCAGCAAAAAAGAGGAAGACCCTCAACAAGATGGATTGACACAGTGGCTGCAACAATAGGCTTAAGCATGATAACGACTGTGAGGATGGTGCTGGACCAGGCAGTGTTTCACTCTGCTGTACACGGGGTTGATATGAGTCAGAATGACTCAACAGCACCTAACTACAACATTCAAACAAATCAGATGTGTACCAACAAAGAGTGCTCTCCAAGATACTAAGTGAAAAAAACAAGATACTGAATAGCATGTATAGTATGCACCTTTTGGGTAAAAGAAAATTGTTTTTAATATATGTATAGCCTTGCCTATGCATGGTATATCTGTTGAGAAGACATAACAGCCTCCAGAGGTTGTATGGGAAGGTAGGGTGAGCGAAACTTATTTTCACTGTCTATTGTTTTGTTATTTGAATTTTATGCCATGTGAATATATTACCCATTTAGAATTGATAAAATTCTATTTTTTTAAATGCATATTTTTGATGCTTTTAGTCTTAAGTCCCAGCCCTCAGGTAGAAATATTATGCCAAAGATATATTTTTGGAAGATAATGGCTTTCCCTGAGTGCTCTGAGGCATAAGAATAGGCATAATGTATTGAGCACATGCCCATTTCTACTCAAAACAGACCTGCAAGAGAAGCAATGTGCTGAATGGTGTCTGCTGTCTTCATCTCCACACTTACCTTTTTACACTCTGTTCTTTATGGCCAGAGCTGGAAGCCTGCAAACCACATGTCCCAGACTTCCTTGTTAGCTGACTCTGCCAAAGGGAGTCACTGGCAGGAGCTGAGAAGATGAAAGGATGGGAAAAGCCATTTTATGCTCTGGCTTCTGGCGGTACCTCAGGCTGTGGTCGTGGTGACAGCAGCATGTCAGAGGCATCCTCCCAGTGAATGTGGGCTCCTGGGTTCCTGCTCAGACAGCTCATTCCATAGCAGCAACCTCAGCCGCTCAGGAATCACGGTCTTTGGGAAACACTATTTTTCCTTTAGCTTTTCCAGTCTTAGGGGTCATTGCTGCTACCTCTTGCTATGAATCTTTAAGTATCCTTGTTGTTAAGTGCCATCGAGTCAACTTCAACTCATAGCAACCCCATATGACAGAGTAGAACTGCCCTCACAGGGTTTTCTAGGCTGTAATCTTTATGGGAACAGATTGCCAGGTCTTTCTCCTGCAGAGCTGCTCGGTGGATTTGAACCACCAACCTTTTGGTTGGCAGCTGAGTGCTTAGCCATTGAACCACCAGGGCTTTTTTGGGTATCCTTATTGCCCTCTTTTTTTGTCTGATTATAGTTGTTTTTTTAAATAATATTTTATTGTGTTTTCGGTTTACACGGCAGTTTAGTTTAGCAGTTTACAGAGCAGTTTCCCATTTAACAATTTCTACACAAATTGTTCAGTGACATTGGTTACATTCTTCACAACGTGTGAACATTCTCAATGTTTCCATTCTGGTTGTTTCATTTCCATTAATCTAGTTTCCCTGCCCTGTTACATTCTCATCTTTGTTTTAAAGTAACCGTTGACCGTTTGATGTCATACAGATGATTTTTTAAAGGAGCACAGTACTCACAGGTGATATTCTTTGCCGTTTTTGCTTCTCCAGCCCTTCCAACGTGCTGTAAACAACACACTGTATTAAGTTCCTTCAATTTGAAACATCTAGGGTGCTTTGTTTTTTCTAATTAGACACTGACCAATGTAAGTAAAATTATCTCTACTTTACAGTTGAGAAAACAGAAATTTTAAGAGAGGAAGTATCTCAACAACAACAAAATAAATAAAAATAAAAATGAGAAGTAACCTAAGGCAAACCAAGTACGTACACTCTTTCCTCACTATACTCCAGCCACCTTGGTTGTTACTGGAACATATTAAGCTTATTTGCACTGCAGAGCCTTTGCATGTATTATTGCCTCTGCTCATGATATTCTGTCTCCAGCTCTTCATAGAGCACATGCTTTCTCTTCATTCAAGGTCTCCTGTTCCTCCTGTTTGTTTTCCTCTTAGTACTTACTACTCTCTGAAAGTATTTATTTACTTAGTTGTCTATGCCACTGGAATGTAAAGTTCATGAGACCAGAAACAGTATGTCTTACTAAGTGCTTTACCTTTAGTGTCTAAAACAGTGCCTAGCACAGAGTATGAGTCAATAGTTAACTGTTGTAAGAATGAATGAATGAGTAGTGTAGTAAGAAAAGCGGTAGATCATTGTGGAGCACCAGCTTGGATGTGCCTGTCCCACTGGCTGCCTGTCAGCAGCAGATCAGGGATCTCTTTAGCGGTCTCCGCTGTATGGGAACCCACAAGAATTCCAGTTCCCACAATTCAGGTTGTGTCCTCAGTAGGTGCTCAGTTCATACATGCTGAACGAATCAACCTGCCTATGAACCTTCCAGAAGATGTCTGTGCACTAGTGATCAAGCGACAACATTCTGGGGATCTCAAGTCAAGCCAGAAGATTGGAAGCAGATGGCTATTTAGAAGTTAAGGGGATAGTGGAAGAGCTGGGGAGGTGGGAAGTTCATCCGGGGTCAACAGCTGTTTAAGCATTTATAGTTACTTTGTGCACGGGACACTGTCTTGGAACCAATCTGTTCTTATTGAGGAAGACAACGTTTACGGAGCTCTTCTTGAGAGGCAATAAAGCATAGTGTAATCTCTGCAGCTGGACAGCCTAGGGTGAAAGCAACGTGACCTTGGCAAGTCACTCAAGTCCCCTGTAACTCAGTTTCCTCATTTGTAAAATGTTGATAACAGTATCACTTTCAAAGCGTTGTTGGGAAGATCAAATTTAAAATATTTAGAACAGTGCTTGGTATTACATAGCTATCAGTTGTTATTGTTACCTTGTGTCAAGCATTAAGGTTCAATGTATTTTATCATCTTACGTAATGCTCCTAGCAACCCTCTGAGGGGAAGTACTAATATCATCCCAGTGTTATAAACAAGGAAGCTGAGAAAGAGAGGTTATGTAAGCAGCCCTAGATCCAGAAGTGTGGAGCCATGCTTCAAACCCAGGTGTTCTAGAATCTGTAGTATCGCCTCTTAATCACCACACTGTGTAAAGCTCTAGGTTCAGAGACAAAGACAGACATGCCCATAGACAGTAACAAGGTACTATGGTAAATGTTCAGAGGTCTCTGGAGTATGCTACACTTTGGTACCTTGGTGCTTGGAGGAGGGGTTGTATAATCCAACTGGGAGAGCAAGTACTTCCCAGAGATCAGACAGGCTCAAGGTCTTGAAGCATAAAAGTTGGCCAGGAGGGAAAAGCATTTTAGGCAGAGCATGGGACATCTGGGGACCCACAGATCCTCTGAATTTACTAGAGTGGCAAGTTCTAGGCAAGAAAGGGAGGCAGTTGAAGCTGGAGAGGCAGGCAGCGGCCAGATTAAAGGAGGCCTTCTAGATCATGCTAAGGAGCTTGGACTTTATCCTGTAGCTTATGAACGACTGAGAGGACTTCAAGCAGATAAAAAATATCGTAGCGTGTGAGCTGGAACGAAGTCCAGAGGAATCCTCGGTGATGAACCTCTTTAGCCTGACAGCCTCCTGCTTTGGTACGCAGAATTCCACCTGACTGGAGGGCCAAGAGCAGGGACTCTGCTTACTCCTAACTCTGAACCTGAAGCCGATTTAGGCACATAATAGTTGCTCAATGAATATTTATGAACCAACGAATATGTCTAGTAACATAGTTTGTGGAAAGAGGGAGAGGGCCTAGAAGTTCAGACCCCCCACATGCCCAAAGGTCTGAGGAAGCAGCATCTAGGAATCGATTAGCTCCCATGAGTCCATCCTGACCCCGACTCTTTATAGCTGTGTCCAGGCAGGTCCTGGGGCAGGGTTCCTGTCAGGTGGGAGGATCTGCTGGGCATATGCTTTCAAAAACACCGAAAGAAGAGGTACGTTCACGCCGTTGCAGACAGCAAAGGGCGTGTGATGTGTGGTAGAGCCTGAAGGGGCCCCAGTGGCCCTATCTAAAAGAAACCCTGGTTTGCTTTTCTCTATCACAGAACCCTATTTCCTTCGCAGCAATTATCGTAGGTTGTAGCGATTTCTCTTCCTTGCTTTCAGACTCTCTCCCCAACTCCGTGACAGCAGGGGCCGCACCTGACTTGGTCTCCAAAGTGTCCCCGGAGTCCAGACAATCTGGGCGAATGGAGCCTCCGCGAAGGGTCCGGGCGGCACCTCCTACCCCTCAATGACCTTAGAGAGCCGAGGCGGATGTAAAGGACATGTCGGGCCGTCTTTGCGTGAGGTGAGGCCGAGGGGCCCGAGCAGCTAGTGGACGAGCCTCACGCGCCGGCCGGACCCGGCGGAGCCGCAGAGACAGCGCGACCGCTCGTCCGCGGCCGCAGCGAGCAGCGCAGAGTGGCGGACGGCGGGCCAGGCGAGGACCGCCTCTCCCGCGGCATGCTGGGAGCTCTAGGCACTTTCCATTTCTCTCCCCGTAAGCTACTCGCTCTCGACAACCAATAACGAACAAGCGGCGGGCGCCTGAGACCCGAGGCTGTGAGATTCGAGGGGGTTTAACTTTTAAAGGTGCCCAGTGAGCCGACTCTCCCAGGGCCCGCACCAACGAGGACTACGTCTCCCACGAGGCGGCAGGGGGAGCTTCCGGCGCGCGGTGCACTGTGGGCGTTGCGGTCCGGCGCGGTGCGGCCCGGGCGTCCGGGCTGCCGCGGGGCTGCGGGCGGACTACAGTTCCCTTCGGCCCGCCGCGGCCGCGGGTCCGCCGCGGCCCCAGGCGCTTGCGGGCATAGTGTCGCCAAGATGGCCGCTTGGGGAAGGAGGCGCCTGGGCCCGGGCAGCAGTGGCGGCAGCACTCGAGAGAGGTGAGGTTCAGGTCTTGTTGTTCTCTCTAGGTAGGCAGCTCAGGAGCCAAGGAGCCCGCTTGGGCCTCCTAGAGCTGCAGGGCTCTCCCAGGCTCGGCCCCCAGGCTCCGTCTTCCCGCCCGCCCTCGTCGTCCCCTACCGGGCACGCGGGGATCCAGTCCAGGAGGATCTGGTACCCGGGTGGGAACCGGCGCCCGCTCGGGCCAGGCCGAGGCCAGCTCTCTGGGGCGCGGAAGTGCAGAGGGCTCAGGAGAGGGAGTGTTGGCGGGCTGGATGAGGTGGGCCGCGGCCGGGCCGCGCTGTGCCAAAGGGCCCGGGCGCCCGGCGCAGGCCCCAGAGTCCCGCCTAGCTACGCGCTTGGCCCCCGCGGCCCTTACTGTGGCGAGGAATGGCTCCTGGGACGAGATTCGACTGGCGGCGGCCGGGTTGGAGGGAGGAGGAAGGGGAAGCAGTGACAGAAGCAGGTCAGTTATGGAAAGGCTTTGCGAATCTGCACGTTTACGGGGGACAGAGAGAGAGCCCTAGCCCTTCGAGATGTGTCTGTGCCGGGTGGAGAGACGGCTTCTCCCTCGAGGTGCGATTCATGGACTTTCCGAGGGTTCTCTGCAAGCGCCCCTGCCGTGTAAGTCCTTTAAAGTGACCTTTCCTGATAAATAGTGTGTAGGTAGGGAGTTAGGAGCATGTTTCTTCCAGAGTGGATATCGATTTGGATAACTGATTTCTAGAAAATGAGATCGTAGTAGTTTTCGTGTTTTATGTTGAGTTTGTAGTTGTTGCTTATGGAAAGCGGTTTCCTCTAGAAGCTGTTCAGCCGCTGGAAGTTTGGGAGAGGATGTGTGTTGGTGATGGCCACCCGAATTAAACTGTCCTGTCCATTCTCTTATGGCTTGATTGGCGGTAACAGAGGTTAGCAAGAAAGCAAAGTTTTGTTTTTGCTGCTTTTCTCCTTTTTAGTGAGGATTGTTAAACGGAAACGTTCTCTCTCTCAACTATTCTGTGTCTGATTACATCACATATTCATTACTGTTGCCTGCAGATGGCTTTCCCGACTGAGCAGATTCTTCCTGTTTGGCAGTTATGATAGAATTCTTTAGCTTATATTTTATTTTTGAGCTCAGAGTTATCTAATATTGTCTATTTTGCATTTCCTCTTTCTTGAAAACGCCGTGCCAAGCAAATATTTTTGTTTTTCTAATTCACACCTGGTATTTCTTAGACATTTCTACCACAGAAAGAAGCTACCTCGATGTTTCCAGATGGTGTTAAAACTAGCAAACATTTTCAAGATTTTTAATGCAAACATTAATCCGTTGGTAACTGGAAGTAACTTCTTAGGGAATTCAGAGTATCAGAGGGAAAGGTATTTTTCTCCTGATTGGATAAAAGCAGCTGGAAGGTCTAAATGGGGATGCTTGGGCACTGTCCATACAGGGGTAGTGCCAGCAAACTTTAAGCAGGAAAATAGAACGTATTGGAGATTTTTTTTTCCTGCAAACCAGCAGCTCGTAGACTGAATCCAGTCCTTGACTGTTGACTTTCAATTTTTTTTTTTCAGTTTAATTTTACTTTTGGTGAAAATATACATAGCCAAACTGGCTCCCATTCCACAGTTTCTAGACAAACTGATCAGTAACATTAGTTGCATTCTTCACATTGTATTAACATTCTCCTTATTTCTGTTCTAGTTGTTTCCTTTCCATTTACTTAATCTCCCTGCTCTCCAACTTTCTCATCTATGCTTTAAAGTAGCTGTTGACCCTTTGGTCTTATACACCTAGATAATTTTTTTTTTCCCAAAGAAACGCAATACTCAAGGGTGACAATCTTTACTCTTTGAGTTAAACTGTTACTTAGTTTAAAGGTGACTTCAGAGGATAGTTTCAATTCAAGGTCTGAAGAGCAACTCAGGGCCATAGTCTCAGGACAGAGCCTCAGCAGGTTCAGTAATTCTGGATTCTTTGAGAATTTGAAGTTCTGTTCCACGTTTTTCTCCCTTTTTATCTGGATTCATTTATTGTGTTCCTGATTAGAACGTTTAATAGTGGTAGCTGGGCACCACTAGTTCTGGTCTCGAGGTGGAGGAGGCGGTGGTTCAGGTAGACAGTCCTGTAGTCCTGTTCTTTCTCTGGGTCTTGGGTTTCCTTCTTCCTGTTTTATTCCCAACAAATAAAGACCAATAGTTATATCTTAGATGGCCACTCTTAAGCTTTTAAGACCCCAGACCCTACTTACCACACTGGGAGATAGAACATAAACTTTAAGATGTTATGCCAGTTTACTGGATTGTCCCACGAGACCACGGCCCTAAGCTCCCAAACCAAGAGAACTAATCCCATGAGGTGATTGGTTATATCTAATTAGTATCAGCATCTGTAGCCTTCCCCCTCTTTTTTGGTGGTTGTTACTGTTGCAAAACCATACACAACCTAGTATTTGCCTATTTATCCCTTTTCCCTATGTTGACCATCAGTTTTTAAAATAAACTAGTTGCCAACACTTATAAATTGAGAGATTTCACATAAAACTTTCTCCGACAAGCTGGATAGAGGCTGGCTCTTTTGTATAGGGCATGTGCTCTCCAGTTCGTGCTTGACTGCTGTGTCAGGCTTGACTGCTGGGTCTCTGTAGGTGTTCTCGTTGCAACCTTTGGCCTGGAACTGTGGATGTCATGTGTCAGCCAGGAATGGGGCATCTGATTTTGTGGTTTGGGTGGCACCATTGCCCTCCTTCCAGATAGCGGGATGTGGCTGTGGGGGACCCTTTGTTTCCCTTTGCTGTAAGGCCCTGGCCAGTTTCTGCTGGAGGAGTCCTTTGCCTGAGCCCAGTTTCCCTCTGGTGCTCCCATGCTGAGCAGTGGAGGGAGACATAACCCTGCACTGGGCCAGCGAGCTGCCTTCTGGGGCACACTTCCATTCCTGTTCAGTAAAAGACTCTTGGGGTGAGGCCCTCTAGTTGATGAGGCTAGGGTGTTACTGGGTCTTAGGACTGAAGTAAGCTGTTCTTGGTTCTCTTGAATGACCTTGCTCCATGTCAGGTTTGTGCTGACTCAAATCTTAGCCTGCACTATGAGACCACTTTTCCAAGTTGCTGCACTTGGTTGGAATCTGCTTTATGCTAGAGCAGAGCAACATTTTTGGCCAACTTTCTGCAAATTCTGCAGCATGCCTTGTATTTAAAGGCTCTGCTGGTGCCAGATTCCCATAAGCATTACGATTGTCAGCTGTGTGTTAATTATGGTCTAACTTAAAGTGTGCACAGCTTCTTCCTTTATCTGGTTCTCATACTGTGCTAATTGGGTAGCTGCTAGCCATGTGTAGCAATTAAATTAAATAGAAAGGAAATTCAGCCACTTGGTTGCACTCGTCACATTCCAGGTACTGCAGTGTTGGACAGAGCAGATACAGATTGTTTCCAACATCACAGAAAGTTCTGTCTAAAATAAGAGAGGTGGAAAGCACGAGATGATAGCTGCTTGCATGTTGATTTTTCTCTCTACTCCATTAAATCTAGGGAATCAACAGTGTTTGTAATGAAGAACATCAGACTCTGAGCTGTAACCTGAATTCTTGTCCAAAATCCTGTACACTGGCAGCAAGCACATCAAACAGAATGCCACTTGTCCTTTCGGCGTCTGTGAGACACATTTGCCCACCTAGGAAAGCACAGTGCAGGTACACGTGTGTTCTGCCGCCCGTGTGGCCCTGGGAACAGCTCCCAGTGCCCCCCGCTGGGCTTGTTTGGGCTGCTTGTCTTCTCTCTCGAAGGGCCCTGAGCACCTCTGTTTCTTCTTGGTGATTGCTGGAATGTGAGTGTAGCCATGTGCTTTGAGTTCTCTTTCTTGTAATCATGTGAAGATGGACTCGATCTCCTTCTGACCATGAAGCAGGTAGCCGGCTGTTCAGAGGTCTGTGGTGGTCAGAGTGCCTGCTCACTGGGACCCAGTGGTCATGTTATAATTAGGTTTTCTGTTGTGGTCTCCCCTCCCCAGCTTGTACATCTTCTGACCCAGCATTTTTTAGGTAGCCGGTTCTCAGCATCTGTCAGTACCAGGCTTGGTTCCTCTGGCACTTGTCCTCCTCTCTTACAGCTTTGCTCTCCCCTGTGAATTTAGACTTAGTACTGGATAGCTGACAGGAAGGTTTAGATTCCCAGCTGAGTGAGCAGGTAGACCACAAGTCAGGTGGGCAGTCACTGAGCAGGTTGGTTCCCATTCCTGTGGTGACACACCCCCATTTCTGATCTGGGCCTTCCCTTTTAGAGCTGAAGACCGTTAAGGTTCTTAAGTCTTTAATCTGTCCTGAAAGCCTCTGGCTGTTGTGTGTGGTAGAGATGGTTCTTTTCCTTTCGGCCTGGACAAGCCCAGCAGAGACAGGATTTGCACTTAGGTCTGCAGATGTTCAACCAGTGTGTATGGTATTCTGCTCGGCTGCTCACCCACGGACAGAGGCCTGCACGGTGGATCCTGCAAGATGGATATTTTAGGTTAGGATCCACTGTGGTTCACTGATGGCCTTCATGTCTGCAGGATGAAGTTCTGTTTTCCTGGCTTCACTCAGGCCATTTGGATTCTAACTGAAATACTTTGTGCCCCACGTAGTGGTGCAATGCCACCTTCCCCGGGGGCGGAGGGTTCTGTGTCCACTGAGGCAGGAGGAGACTGGAAGCTATGGCAGAGTCTGAGTCTTGCTTCTTTAGCTGGTAGGCCCATGGGTGTGTTTGGAAAGTACTCCATGAGAGAGAGCGCTCAGAGAAACCTCCCAACTGCTACTGTTCTCTGTCCCTGGTGTCAGCAGCAACTCGGTGGGCCAAGGCGTTCTTGGGGAAATCCAGTAATCATTTAGTAGTCAAAAGAGTTCTTTAGATCAGGCTGTCCAAGAGGACTTTCTGTGATAGAAATGTTCTATATCTGTGTTGTCCACTAGGGTAGTCGTTAGCCACATGGGGCTGTCGAAATGTGGCTAGTGCAATGGAGAAACAGACTTTTTAATTTGATTTAATTA